TTGGGCCAGGCTAACCTCACTCAGAATGATGTTCTCCAATTCCATCTATTCACCAGCGAATGATAACATTTCGTTCTTCTTCATGGCTGCATAAAATTCCATTGTGTATAGATACCACATTTTCCTAATCCATTCGTCAGTGGTGGGGCATCTTGGCTGTTTCCATAACTTGGCTATTGTGAATAGTGCCGCAACAAACATGGGTGTGCAGGTGCCTCTGGAGTAACCTGTGTCACAGTCTTTTGGATATATCCCCAAGAGTGGTATTGCTAGATCAAATGGTAGATCAATGTCTAGCTTTTTTTAAGTAGCCTCCAAATTTTTTTCCAGAGTGGTTGTACTAGTTTACATTCCCACCAACAGTGTAAGAGGGTTCCTTTTTCCCCGCATCCTCGCCAACACCTGTTGTTGGTGGTGTTGCTGATGATGGCTATTCTAACAGGGGTGAGGTAGAATCTTAGCGTGGTTTTAATTTGCATTTCCTTTATTGCTAGGGATGGTGAGCATTTTTTCATGTGTTTTTTGGCCATTTGAATTTCTTCTTTTGAGAAAGTTCTGTTTAGTTCACTTGCCCATTTCTTTATTGGTTCATTAATTTTGGGAGAATTTAGTTTTTTAAGTTCCGTATATATCTGGTTATCAGTCCTTTGTCTGATGTGTAGCTGGCAAATATTTTCTCCCACTCTGTGGGTGGTCTCTTCAGTTTCATTTCTTTTGATGAACAGAAGCTTTTTAGCTTTATGAGGTCCCATTTATCTATGCTATCTCTTAGTTGCTGTGCTGCTGGGGTTTCGTTGAGAAAGTTCTTACCTATACCTACTAACTCCAGAGTATTTCCTCTCTTTCCTGTATCAACTTTAGAGTTTGCAGTCTGATATTAAGATCCTTGATCCATTTTGAGTTAGTCTTGGTATAGGGTGATATACATGGATCTAGTTTCAGTTTTTTGCAAACTGCTAACCAGTTTTCCCAGCAGTTTTTGTTGAAGAGGCTGCTATTTCTCCATCGTATATTTTTAGCTCCTTTGTCAAAGACAAGTTTGTTATAGTTGTGTGGCTTCATATCTGGGTCCTCTATTCTGTTCCACTGGTCTTCATGTCTGTTTTTGTGCCAGTACCATGCTGTTTTTATTGTTATTGCTTTGTAATATAGTTTGAAACCCTTGACCTTTTCTACTGCAGCCACAATTACCCTACCCGTTCCGTCACCTCCTTCTTCTCAATTACCTAGGGCTACCCAATGTCAGAAACCTACGTTCCAGTCTCAGGCCACAGCTTTAAATCCTCTAGTCCTCACCTCCTCCTTGCCCCCACTGTGCCAGACCCCCTCTCTAGCCATCCTATGGAGTCCATGTCAACCCCTTCCCAGGGTGTCGTTTTCCTCTTAGGGAGACTGAATCCCTATCTTTTGTCACTTCAGTCCCTCCTTTGCCTTGATGCTCCCTTGAAGTTCCCTTGCATCTCTGTCCTTTCAGACACTCTGCTTTGCCAGTCCTGTCAGTGTGTGGATGGATTTGGCCATGGCTCCATCCTCATATGCTTCCACTCCCAGACTATGAAAGGCAACCAGAGAAAATAACCTGCTACTTGCACTGGGGATACTTTAAAAGTCACAGTCTTTGTTCATCTGGGCCACTGCACTGCCCACAGTCAGCTTCCTCCTTTACTGTAGGTTTTTCAAGCTCCCCCCAGCCTGTGCATCCCCTTGTGCCTCCTGTCTCCCTGAGGAAGGGAAGCCACGGGTTTTCTTGCACCATCTATGGCTGCATCTCCCTTCTGCCGGCACCTTTCACACTGAAGAGCCATCAGACCTCGGCCTCTCACACCTTCTCTGGAACTTTACTTCATCAAGTATTCCCCTCTCTCCTCATCTTTAACTTCCTGGCCTACTAAATCCTTCCATCCAAAACATGAATATCCTCAAGGCTCTGCCCACTTAGAAGAAGAAACACATGACCACCACCCTAGTCTTCTTTAACCCCTCCAGCCACTCTTCCTTCTTGTACCATACCTCTGGAGCCCTACTGGTGATTCTCTCCATCACCTCTACCTCCTACCACTCAGCCTGCTGTGTCCCCACAAAGCCTTCTGACTGGGGTAACCAGCATGCTCCTGCTGCTAAGTTTAGTGCCTCTTTTTCATCCACCTTAAGTGACCCAGGCTGTTGTACCCCATCACTCTTGCTATGAATTTCCAGACTCTGCACTTCCAGAGTGTTCCTGCTGTTCCTGGCTACCCTTTCTCAGCCTCCTGTGTGGCCCCTGTCCTCCACCCATCTGCTAATGCCAGTTCTCAGATTCAACCTTGGGCCTCTGTTTTTCCAATTCCCCCTTCATTTTTTCCAAAACTTTCAGTATCTTCAAGACACAACACAATCTTGACCCCCATGCTTATACGTAGGCCCAGTCTCCTTATCTGGCCTTACTTCCTTTTAGCCAGAGCTCTCACCCATTGCTCCCATTTTAAAAGTTAACATGAAACATTTCCTATGTGTTGACTCTGGGCTAAACTCTTTATAGTCATGGTTCTTAATCTTCCAAAACCTCCTTTGATGATTTCTGAGGAAGATGATTTCACAGAAGCCAAAAGCCATCCCAAAATCATACAGCTAATAATCTGTGGGGCTAAGACTCAAATTCAGGTCTGTTTGATTCTCTAAGATCCCTCCTTCCCCACTGCCTCAAAGTGTCCTTGCACATGCTTTAGGGTGGCAGTAAGCCACCCAAAATTAAATATAAATTTATCTGTATGTTTACTGTCAAGATTACTGTGTGTTTATTGTCAGATTCTCATGCTGTGTACAACAGATTCTATGTTGTATACTTCTTGGGGTTGAGATAGGCCTGGCACACAACAGACCTTTGATGAAGCTGGATGAATTCTTCCATCCATGAATACATACTAAGTGACTCAGACCCTTCAGAGAATCAGGCAAGCTGAGCAGGACACTCACCATTGGGGTTTCTGGTTTGACCATAAGGAGCCTTAAATCCCTGGCAAACTCCTTCCAATCAGCTGATCTTCCTATTTTCCTTTTCCTGCTAAAACATCTGGGCTCTTCATATCCCATTTTAAGTAACCTTCATAGCACCTGTGTAAGGTGAGCACTGCCATTATTCTCAGTTACAGATAAAGAAATCGGGCTCCGGGAATAACTGCTTTCTTTTATCTGGAGTCTGATGAGGCATCCTATCCTTACTGGTCAGCCAGGAAGGGACACCAATGAACTCATCTCAAAGAAAGCAGCCCCAGTGGTAGACCAGACCTGGTCTCAGGCCAGTTTTCAATATAGAGCTGCCAGGGCGATGTCTAGGCTATCAGAGCAGCTGACAAGCTGGCAGGAAGACTATTTTCCAGATTATTCTGTTGGAGAAGGTGCGACTTCACTTCTGGCTCATTTCACCACTTGGTCTGACCTGGACACAATGCAGTGTTAACAGAACAAGCTGCACCACCTTTACCAAGCTGACCTGGCTTCCTAGTAGGAAGCAGATTACATCATTGCCCCCAAGAACCCCTCCTCCTCAGGGAGCTAAACGGCTGGTCAGAGGGGGGGCTAAGTTGGCTCCCAGTCAAATAGTTTTGTTAAGGAAACTATGAATCTCTGGTAGTTTATGCACATCTGTTTTGTTTTGTTTTTTTAAAGACTAAGCTCAGTTGAAAAGGATAATATTTTCAAAAGAAAGAGAAAAGAAATAAAAGGCTTTTGGAACCTCTCTTTTCAAAACAAACTGTGCACAGCCCCTAGCCCAGATGTATCTAAATCTTTCTCAGCTCCTATCATATTTCATCAAAGAACACTTGATCACCTTCAACCTTGATCTTTCAGACTACAAGTTGGTTCCTCTCTGAGGCTCCTGCTGTCCTTGGGTGGACACTGAGGATGGAGAGATTGAGCAACAGTGATGCACAAGACAAGGCATTTCCAAGAAGGAAGGCCCAGCTGGAGAGAAGACCCCCAAGGGAATATGGGCCCCAGCACCCAGAGGGTCAGTCATTCGCATTATGAAATATTGAGGTCATTGTTCTCATTTGAAACCAGAAAAATAAGAATAAAGAAGAAAAACTGTCAGTAACACCATGGGGTGGGGTGGTTAGCTTATGCAGAGAGGGTCTTATAGGGTGCTTTCTACCATATACCATGTTCTGGAACCTCTGGCTAAGGAATCAGAAGCCCCACTCCCAAGATGGTACACATCCTCAGTCATCACTCCAGTAAATGGGGATGCAGCTCACTGAGCCTGGACCAAGGGTTCTGGCTGGACCAAGTCAGCTGGAATGGTGGGGCAGTGAGATAGGATTCAAAGTTCAGGAAGTGTTCCTGAACACATCACTTGTTCCACCTGCATTTACAGAGGGTCTATCACATAAATGTCTGACCTTGGCAAGGTGGTGGGGAAACAGTGAAGGACAAGACAGGCACAGCGTCTGCCCTCATAGAGCTCACAGACCAGCAAGGAAGGCAGAGAACACTGAGTTACACAAAATGAGGACAGATGAGTAAAGGACCAAATGAAGACGTGCAAGGTGCAATGAGGGAATGTTTGACAGGGAGACCTCATACAGGTTGGGGTCTCAGGGACAGCTCCCCAAGGAAGTGACATTCAGGCTAAGAGTTGACTGAGGGGGGGGAGTGTTGACAGGGCAGCAATATGGTGCACCCAATGAGAGATGGCAAGCCAGGATGGTGAAGCCTGAAGAGGGAAGAGAAGGGACAAGAGCTGAGGCTGGAGGGGTGGGCACAGGCTAGAACCCCCATGCAAGACCTCCCTGAGCACTTTAAGGTGCTTTGAAACCAAAGCCCATGGAGTAATATTACCTCAGGAAAGTTGTGTTCACTTCCACTCACTTTGCAAAAAGGACTGTAATGGCATAAGAGTAGATGAAGGTGGGTGGTTCAGGAGGGAGTTGAACCTGGGGCAGGTGCCTGGGATTGGACCCTAAGGTGATTGGTCCCTAAGTGTTCAGCCTTCAGGGACCAATGCAAGGGGTGCAGCTTACCTGGTTAAACCTCCGAGTAAAGGCCACGACATTGGGGGCAAGACTATGTTTCTCCTTCTTACTCCATCCACAGCTGGCTAGTTCCTAGGAAGCACAAAGTTAATTTCAACATGGATTCTAATCAGGGTGCAAAATACACAAGGGCATCTAGCTGGAAGGCAGATGTGGAGGTGGAGGAGGACCAAAGCCTTGGCTATGCCTGTCTTCACTAGGTGGGAAAGGAGGGCTAGGTCTGCAGGTAGAGATGCAAGCCAGGATGGCCAGAGGAGAGAAGAATACTCTTTCCTATGACTCTAGTCACATCTCCTACCATTTTGGTACCAAAATATTCTTTTTTTTTTAATTGTTTTATTATTCATATGTGCATACAAGGCTTGGGTCATTTCTCCCCCCTGCCCCCACCCCCTCCCTTACCACCCACTCCACCCCCTCCCTCTCCCCCCCACCCCCTCAATTCCCAGCAGAAACTATTTTGCCCTCATTTCTAATTTTGTTGAAGAGAGAGTATAAGCAATAATAGGAAGGAACAAGGGTTTTTGTTGGTTGAGATAAGGATAGCTATACAGGGCATGGCTCACATTGATTTCCTGTGCGTGTGTGTTACCTTCTAGGTTAATTCTTTTTGATCTAACCTTTTCTCTAGTTCCTGGTCCCCTTTTCCTATTGGCCTCAGTTGCTTTTAAGGTATCTGCTTTAGTTTCTCTGCGTTAAGGGCAATAAATGCTAGCTAGTTTTTTGGGTGTCTTACCTATCCTCACCCCTCCCTTGTGTGCTCTCGCTTTTATCATGTGCTCAAAGTCCAGTCCCCTTGTTGTGTTTGCCCTTGATCTAATGTCCACATATGAGGGAGAACATACGATATTTGGTCTTTTGGGCCAGGCTAACCTCACTCAGAATGATGTTCTCCAATTCCATCTATTCACCAGCGAATGATAACATTTCGTTCTTCTTCATGGCTGCATAAAATTCCATTGTGTATAGATACCACATTTTCTTAATCCATTCGTCAGTGGTGGGGCATCTTGGCTGTTTCCATAACTTGGCTATTGTGAATAGTGCCGCAACAAACATGGGTGTGCAGGTGCCTCTGGAGTAGCCTGTGTCACAGTCTTTTGGATATATCCCCAAGAGTGGTATTGCTGGATCAAATGGTAGATCAATGTTTAGCTTTTTAAGTAGCCTCCAAATTTTTTTCCAGAGTGGTTGTACTAGTTTGCATTCCCACCAAAATGTAAGAGGGTTCCTTTTTCCCCACATCCTCGTCAACACCTGTAGTTCGTGGTGTTGCTGATGATGGCTATTCTAACAGGGGTGAGGTGGAATCTCAGTGTGGTTTTAATTTGCATTTCCTTTATTGCTAGAGATGGTGAGCATTTTTTCATGTGGTTTTCGGCCATTTGAATTTCTTCTTTTGAGAAAGTTCTGTTTAGTTCACTTGCCCATTTCTTTATTGGTTCATTAGTTTTGGGAGAATTTAGTTTTTTAAGTTCCCTATATATTCTGGTTATCAGTCCTTCGTCTGATGTGTAGCTGGCAAATATTTTCTCCCACTCTGTGGGTGGTCTCTTCAGTTTAGAGACCATTTCTTTATGAGGTCCCATTTATCTATGCTAGCTCTTAGTTGCTGTGCTGCTGGAGTTTTGTTGAGAAAGTTCTTACCTATACCTACTAACTCCACAGTATTTCCTACTCTTTCCTATATCAACTTTAGAGTTTGTGGTCTGATATTAAGAGCCTTGATCCATTTTGAGTTAATGTTGGTATAGGGTGATATACATGGATCTAGTTTCAGTTTTTTGCAGACTGCTAACCAGTTTTCCCAGCAATTTTTGTTGAAGAGGCTGCTATTTCTCCATCGTATATTTTTAGCACCTCTGTCAAAGACAAGTAGGTTATAGTTGTGTGGCTTCATATCTGGGTCCTCTATTCTGTTCCAATGGTCTTCTTGTCTGTTTTTGTGACAGTGGTACCAAAATATTCTTAACCCCACCACTGCCACTCTGCCAACTTCTCTGAGACCAGAAGTCCTTTCTTACAGTGCCAATTGTCTGAGAGGGGCATAAATGGTATAACAAGCAGGACTCATCCTGCTGTATACATGTCTGCTAGGCTTCAGGCTAACTCAAATTAAAATTTACTTGAGGAATCGCAGACTTCATTGGCCACACATTCTCCATTCCTGGAGTCAGGCAAAGTCCCAGTCCAACCTACAGCAACCAGAGAAGCTTCTGGGACTACCTAGGGTTACTTCCAAAAGTTGGCCCCTCCCATCTCTCATATAACCAAAAGGGGACAGAAGGGAAGGTTCTCTTTAATGTCCTATGCAGGGGCCTTGGCTCTACTTCCCCAGCAGGTTTAGCATCATAATTTGATGAACCAAAGTACCTAAGTTTTACCTATCATAAGGCTGCTTCTTTTCTGAGGATAATAGGAGCAAGCTCATGGGGCTACTTGGGGGAATATAAACAAACCAAGGCAAAGACATCATTTAAAGGCCCACATTTCCAGCTTGTGCCATGGGGAGCCCTGACAGAGAAGGAATGCTAAGTTCCAATACCTCCTGTTAATTCCTCTCAGGCTTCAGTGTTATTGGCAATGTTTTTTTGTTTGTTTGTTTGTTTGTTTGTTTTGCCACACACCTGGAACTTTTAAAAGATCTTTAGTGAGAGTCAGCTGCCCACAAGCTGGAGCATACACAGATCAGGGAAGTCAGAGAGGGGCAGGTGGAATGGCCCAAGACAAAATTTGCTGGCTAGGCATTATGTGTGACACACTGTGCTCAACCAGTACATCTTAGAACCCAATGATAAGCCATTCACATGTGGGAAGCTGGCTCAAGGCAATGGCAGCTTTAGTCACAAGATGAACCACCTGGGGTCAAGCATGGTAGTATACATCTGTAAGCCCACCACTTAGGAGGCTGAGATAGGAGGATCCTGAGTTCAGAGCCAGCTGGGATACAGTGAGATCCTGACTCAAAAACAAAATAAATAAAAAAGATGAACCAGCTGGGCACAGAGGCTCGTGGGAACCAACCAGAGCTAAGACACACCTCTTCCTGATCTGATTCGTATCTGCAAATGGCATGACTGTCCTCACAGTCACCCTCACAAGAGAACACAACCAACCCGGACCCTGCCAGTTCTTTCACATCCTCACAATTAGACCCCAAGTCTAAAGGCAATGATATCAGTTAATGCTACCAGTTAGAAAAACAACTCTGTGAGGTAGGCCCAGTCTAGGCGCATCACACATTAGCTATCTCATGTCACTCTCACCACCTCAATGTTCATTCTCCACTTCTTCTCAGGCATGACTACTTTACCTAGTTCATCTCGTCCTTGCTTTGAAAAGGATTATATATGTTTGTTTCAAACATATGTTTACTTGCCTCATTGAATTTACCCCCCCTACACACACCATTAAAGATAAACTTGGATCATTTTGAAAATTATTATTTTTGCACATTTGAAGTTTGTCAGAACAAAGGCCTCATGCCTCCCTGGATCCGAAAGCCAACACTGGAAAAGTATGAGTTATGATCAAATATAAAACCCAATTCATTAAACTGATGTTTAAGGACTAAGGTGGCTAAATTTCTGAGTATCTTTCCTGAATATTTTAATAAACACCAGTAGGTATATGTATATGTGTGCACACATTTAATACAGAGTCTGTGGTCTTATTTGCACACCATGACAACTTGGAAGACACTTGGAACTGGAGCAGTGAGGACCCAAGTTAGAAGACCTGGGTCCAATCCTGGCTGTCCACACCCCAGCTGACAATGCTTACCTCTCAGAACATTCACTTTTTCACCTGATACCCAAGCACGGAAAGCCTAGTGCACACAGGCACCTGGTAGCAGGGTCTTCCCACTAGCATGAGGCACACTGCTATGAAGTGTGAAAGCAGTGTTCAGCCTCAGCTCAAACACCAAATGCCACCTGTCCTTTCCCACCCCACACTCCTATTCCTGTCTTGAGTTATTAACAAAATCTATTCTTCCTCTTTCATTTTGCTGACATCATGCAGGCAAGAGTCAAGATGTATGTTATCCATCTGCCCTGAATTGACTTGATTTGAACATTTCTAAGACCCTGATTCAAATACTGCATCTGGCAGGTTTTGCCAATTCTCTAAGAAGTCCTGTGCTCTGGGAGATAGGTAACATTTAAAATTAAAACCTCAGCAGTGTGTTACACTGTCTGAGAGGTACTTTGATAAAATGGATGGTACAAAGGATTTGAAGCTGAAAGGCATCCCTCTGAGACCCAGCCCTGTTTCTAGTGTCCTAGGCATCAGTTCTGATGACATGAGGTGGCCTGTGAAAGTGGCCCCAGGACTGCAGTAGGAACTGCAGGCAGAAGAGCTTAGGACCTGGCCAACAGTCCATGCTCAAGCAGCATCTGTTGAGTCAATGAGGGCTGAGTGCTCATCAGTGGTGGAGCCTTTCAAACTTGGGTCCAGACAAATTTATCACAATGTCAGAAGGAATCAGACTGCTCTATCTGCATTAAACCAAGATCTGGATACAACCTCTTTGGCTAAGTTCCCCTTCTATGTTTGGCCTTATAGGATTACAAGAGATTCCATCTGTGTGAAGTGGGTTTGGAAAATGTGAAGTAATAAAATAAAACTCCTCCCGTCTCTAATGCCTAAAAAAGGGCCATGCTATGGAACTGATTTGATCACAATTAAGTTAAAATTGACCAGAGGAGACAAGGCTAGCTCTAGAGGGAAGACAGGGGTTTGGGCTGAGACCAGGAAAGCCTGGTGGCTCTGCATCCTGGGTGAGCCACATGCAACCCTCCAAAGGCATTGGACCCACAGCACTCCCAGGCCAGGCTGCCCACTCTGAGCCCAGGGCTGAGGTAAAGAGAATGAGAAAGCAAACATAGAGCCTGTGCAGTGTCTTCTGGAACCTCCTCTGTCATGTACATGTTCTCCAGGCTCACCGGGAAAAACAGAAGCTGTGAGAAGAAAAAAGTTTCTCCACTAAGCTTGGCATTTCCCTGCCTCCTCTGCTTCCCTTCCCAGGACCCATTCTCCCCCCGACCCCATCCTATCACTCAGCCTTCCCA